GTCTTGTGACATATTGCAAAGCTGTGCGTCTAATGTGTTTTACGAATGGTCACACCATAGTATTTTTGCCTCAGACCAAACGTCGTTACAACATTATACACATAACTGATTCAGTGAAGGTTGCTTTGGGCCTTTGGGCATTGGGAATTGTACCCTGGGAAGATAATTATTGTTTGGTGGTCACTCAAGTATGTCATTGCAGTGTGTTCCATATGCCCAAATACCCAACTGCCAATAACCAATTGCTAAATCAACCTTCATTGAATTAGGTATATATGTTGTAGTTAATTTTTTATCTCAATGGTAATGTATCCCAATGAAGTTGGAACAAAAGTATAAAAAAAATTACCTGAGATGAAAAATTAACTAGAACATATACATGTTATTTGTTCAAAACTCAGATTTGTAATTTTGACGTGCCCAGAAGTAGCTAGTGTTAATTGCACCATTCTAATTGGCTCTAGGAATGTAAATGGTCCAATGACATGTAGCATAATAGCCCCAGAAACGCCTGATACTCAGGCTAGTAGCATAATGATAGCTATTCTATCCGCCTTTTTCTTGGATTCTTTGACTGCTGAAATGTGTCTTGTATAGATTACAAATGCGTTTACTTATAGGGAAGGGCAACAGTTTGTGATTGCAAAATACCGAAGTCTTTCTTGAACAGATTTCAAAGTTGCTTACCTATAAGTAAGGGTCACTGTGTGTGATTCTCCCGGCAAGAGCTTTCCTCCTCGAGGTTCAATGCTGAATAATTTATTATCCATTACCTGCATCTGGGAGTGCAAAAACGAATAATAGAGTTTAAAGAAAATATAACTTAATTTTACAACGTGGTGAACAGAACTAGTTTAATTTCAGACATGCAAAGTAAAACGTTTTCATATTGCAATTGCCTGGTCAATAGCTTGCAATTTATGGGTGTTGTAAAGATTAATTGTTTTTTGACATTCAAAAACTCTTTAATAATTCATAAAGAAAAAACAAAAGATGAGTGTCTTTATATATGATAGAGACACGGCCAAACTTTACCTCCAATATTTTAGTCCAAAATAACCCTAAATCTAAACATTAGTGCAGAATGAATTTATCTTTTTCAGAGATTTTGAAGCCGTTCATAAAACTTGCAGTTGTGTATTATCAGGTTTAAAACTCTCGGTGAACAGTACATAAAAGGTCACGCTTAAATTCTTTTGGAAAGAAGCACAAATTGATCGCATAGCCAGTAAAAGTGACAAATCATCATGGAATATAATGCTAGCCAAAAAATTTGCCCAATTTACTCAAGTTCAAGATGTCTTACCTCATGAAGTTCATCTTCATCATATTCCCCTGTCTCGGCCCAGTACTCGAGCTCCAGCTGAAGATCACTGGGGAACAAGAATGCCCTGTGATGAAGTAAAACAGGATCATTGCATTATATTAGCTCTTCAAACATAACAAAATAAGAACTAGCAAATCAAATACAAATGCAGAAAGTCAACAGGGATTGATGTAGTGGAACAACCCAACAGTCAAAGAGCATACGGTCTTTTGGTCTGACGAAAGCACTGCAAGCGTTCCTGCGACTTGCAGCAGCCATTAAGGGGAAAATGTTTTCGCTCCTTCTTGAATTTAAATACGAGATAAATTATTAAATTTATGTCTTTTGCCTCAGGAAATTGAACTGATTGATAACAAAGTGAAGGTAAGAACATACTCTTAACCGTGATGTCACTTCTTATTCTATTCGGTATGAAAAAATTAAACAACTTATCATCTTGGGCTGAGAATATTTTGTATGCGATAATTTGGCCATGGCACCCGAAATTTCCTCAGAGCTCGTCAATATTCTCTTTTCAAACTTACCCTTATATTACATGTTTATCATTAAAAAGGGTCAAAAGATTCAAGACTCCTTTTGACATCATTGCGTTTGCCATAGTTAGTAACGCACAGACCTAACGGCTAATTATATTTCAAAAGAAAAGCATATTAAATTTGAACATATCGATTAAAATCTGTATCCCTAGTATTTTCCCCTGTGGGTAGACATATCTTAGAGATATAGATAGATCGCCTTTACCATTCAGAAGGAACTGATCCTGTATTTTTTAAGTTTAGATGCACCACACAAGGATCCACACCCAGAGGTGCAGCACCAAAGTTGAAGTCCATTATGGCTCTTGTGTTGACAGGGACTCTGCGTCTTGTGCTGTAGAGGTTAACATTTGGTGAGCTTAAAAGATAGCTGAAAGATATTTTAGTCCTGGATCTAAACAAATAAAACGATTTAAGTGTTTGAATGTTTGTGGAGAAATACTTGGAAGTGAAATAAACTCATTACAAAGTATGAAGGGTTTGATATGGCAAGTTGTAAAAAGGCACTAACGCTTGGTCTTAGAAACGTATATGGACTTAAAGCAACAATGTTCATTTCACGCTTTTGACATTAATTACAAAAGGTGATGACTGCAAACGTCACACATTTTCTTCTAAAACACTTTGGCTTTATCTCTCAGCCTTATCAGTCATTTATGTCCATGAAACGGTTCTGTGACTGCTATAAATGTACCGAGTGTTACAATTTCAGCTACAATTACAATCTTTGCTTAAGTCCGTTAAGTCACACAAGCCACTGAGTTTTTGTCCTTCTGCTTATCACTACATTGCCTGCGTCTACTGGCAACGTTTTACTAACCTGTGTCTTGTGACTGCAGCATAAAGAAGTTCAGAAGGAGACGGATCAGATTCCAGACATTCATTGAGACTGCAACAAAAATGACGACATTTTTCATCAAACGAGGCTGCCTATAACAGTAAGCCAATCGCCAATGTCCATTTCGGGGATGTGGTTAAAACCACTACAGTCGCACTTTCTTTATACACACCTACCGCTATCTAGGTTTGGCATGTTCGGGACCAAGAGAACTGTCTTTTAGGACAGTTCTCTTGGTTCCAACCTTTGAATTTTACCAACGTCTCTAAAGTCATGAAAACGTCTATCACGAAGTCCAGTGACAAGGAAAATGTGGCAATGAGCCAGGCATTTAAAGATAAGTAAGCCATTTGATAAGTTAAATACTTTGCTTGTATTCCAAAGAAAGCCGAATACGGTCTTCAGCTGCATGCGCACTTGACTTTCTCTTTAAGAAAATACATCAGCCGATTTTTTTTATCAAAGGTTATCCGCACGGCTTACCTCTCAAGTGAAAAAAGACTCCATATGTGAACTTTGCTGTATCCTTTGCCGCTACCCAAGCAGCGGGCGTCAGTCACAGAAAGAGTCGGGTAAACTCCCTGGCACTGCAGTTCAGTAAGTTGTCTTTTGGAGCACGTTATGAAGGGCTTACCGTCATCTGCCGAAAGAAATCATAAAGAAATACATATTCCGGAATAATTCGACATACTTACTCGTCATGGCTTGAAGTCAGAGAGGTGGTGTGAAGCAACGCAAGACGGAATACATTAGGAAATTGAGTAATTTTAATTTTCAGTGGATAAAACCTTGTACCAGAATAATTTAAAGCACGTTGCATTCTTTTTCACACTTCTCAGGGGCTATAGATATAATTAGTTAACTAACACCAGAGAAAATTTCTCATGGGAGCCTGTTTCGAATTTCACAAAATGAAATCTTACTCATCAAATGACGGACTTTGCAAACAAATTAGGAAAATATTCTGTTTTTGGAAATGAAAGAAAAGGCCATTTCCGAGTTCCAAAAACTATCACTTTCAAAACCAGGCAAAGTGCGAAACCTTTCTTGTAAAAATGAGTTTTATTCGCATGAGAATAAAAAACGTTTTCATATCAATGGCTTTGCACTTGGCCTCGCTTTGAGACAGAGGCTTGAGGCAACCCGGAAATGGCCTACTTAAGGTGATGTTAAACGGGACAATTCGCAACGACGATTTTTAGCGCAACACTGTGTTGCAATGTTGGAACAATGTTGTAACTATTCCAAACAATGTGGTAACAATGTTGCAACGCTGTGTTGCGCTAAAAAGTGTTGTTGCGAATCGTCTCGTGTAACATCATCTTTAAACACTGCACAACACGGAAAAAGAAAAAGGCCCTGGACTGACTAACGCATACATACCAAACATTGAAAGAAGTTCATAACTGAGTTTAAACTGGTAGGCAATTCGCCTTGACGGATAAGCTGTTGCTGTTATCTTCTGGGACGTTCTTGCTGGTATGACTCCACTCTGGCTACTAATTTCTAGAGCTGAAGATAAGATTACAAGCCTCGCATTAAAGCAAAAAGAGTCAAGCACATTCAGTACTCCATAACCTGAGAAGAAAGCCAACATTTCGCAAAGACAACACTGGTTTTCCCGCCAGATGAAGTCTGAGGAACGAGCGCAGAAATTCAACTGGTTGTAAATTTGCTTCAACAAATCAAACGTACTACTCAGATCTTCGTAGTGACACGTCCTCAGTATGGAAAGTGGAGTCTCCCGTAGTTCAGTGGTTTTGCAAAACTGGAAATTTTTTCCCAACTGCACACGCTCTCATTGGTTACTTCGAGGTCACATGACATCTAACAATTAAACTGTTTCCCGCCAAAATCTCTGAGTGGGCAACATTGCAAATCTATGACGTCAGAAGGTAACAGTGCACTGTTACCCACGAATGTTGAACGCTCCCGTTATTTATTTTCATAAATTTGTAAACGAAAAGTTTCTTCTTCGTGGGCTATATAACAATTCACTTAAAGACTGGTCCCTCGGGAAACAGTTAATTTTGTTTTCCTCGAATTTTATAGTTAATGTTTCCCTCGGCTCTGTCTCGAAAAAACATTGAGATTCTCGAGAAACAAAATCAACTGTTTCCCTCGGGACCAGTCATTAAGTGTTTAACGTCTAGAGGATAAACTTCACTCGGCTGTTATATGGAAAGAGTAGCTTACCTAGAATATCTCTTGCGGTCTGGTCGTCGTCATATGGTCCCGTTACTTCCTGGTCAATGAACAGATTGTAATGTAGACTACAGTCACTGTTGTTGTGGATTGT